TCAAGGACTAAATACACAGGTGAGTGGCAGGATAACAAGACACAGGTGAAAATAATCAAGGCAGAGCAAACTGGAGGGGAAACAGACAAAGTGAAGCAAAACAAGACACAAGAGGAGGAAAACCAAAGAAAACCCAAAACCATGACAGGTCCCTTGCCTACAGATGCTTCATTCATATGCAGATATTTGTTTATAGAGATTATGGCCTTCGAATTTATTGACACATGACTTCTAAACATACACAAAAGATACCGGAGGTGTACAAGAACCAATTATCTTGTCTTTCACTGTCCTTCACATTGTTTATACTGCAATATAATTCTAAATAAACATGTTCTTGCCATGTTTAAATGATGGCCTTAGAGAGTTATTGACACTTGACACACAAAGCAATAAAGTCTGTCTGTCTGTCTGTAGGTGGTTTGTAGGGCAGACGAGGTAACACAAGCTTCCCTGCTCATGTTTCAGACTTGACCACTGCTGCTGATGTTTGTGATCAGCTGGAGAGGAACTCCACAGTCAACCCAACGTATCACTGTGGCTAAAAAGATTACTCACAACACGTAATCCACCGCTCCTTATGCATGACTTTTATAAACGTTAGCCTTACCTACCAGCTGTGAAAATGTGTCAGTTTAGCACACGTTTGTTGTAGTAAATTTATGTTAGCACATTTTACATACACTTATTAGGTGCACTTGTTCAATTGAATCCAGTGTAATTGTTATATACTTACAATGGCTATAGTCAGTTATTTTCATGGGGTTGCATTATATTCAGAGGTATTTTTAATATTCTGAAAATAGCAGTACTCCAGATCACCCGCTGGATAACCGAAAAAAATGATGTGTAATAGGCAAAAATCTATTTATATAAACTCATAGGCGGGCAAAAGGTGAGACCCAAAATATGTAAAATCATACATCTGTGGCGGTTGCTATTACATTAGGTGTGCAAAACCTTCACAACTCACTACAAGAAAGTGAACACGGGAGACAGGAGAAGAAGTGGACGTCAAATGTTTTGTAGTAAAGTTTGGTTTCCTAAACCAGAAAGAATGGTTTTGTTTTAAAGGAGGAAGTCACTTCAGAAAAAAACAACATAATATATAACATACATCGCAGGATGTTTAAAGAACAAAATGTGTTATAGTGTGTTATATTGTGTTCTGGCATATAAAGAGAACATCAAGGTAATTAACTGCACTGATATGTAACTTGGATAAGAATCACCTGCCATGATGTTTCCCCTGCCACCTGCAGTTATTGGGTCACAATGTCAAGGTTCGGATACTCTGCAGTCTAACTGGCCTGGGGAACTTTGAACATGTTTAAAAGGTTACTGTAGGCAGTAAACCGGCAGCATTCCCTTCACTGTGTAACCTGACACAATGAGTTTCTCACTGCACACTCAGTCAAAAGTGATCTCAGCCCGTTTAGCAGGACTGGAGGTATTGTCACCATTAGCCATAAGAGGATTCTTTGTATCCTTCCCACTCACATGTACGCTTTCCTTATGACAGCAGAGGAAGAAATCAGCCAAAAGCAGGGCTCATTCATTTGTTTATGTCGAACACAGTTTTCACAGTAACAGTGATGTAATTCCTGCAAATCAATAAAACCTTACAGTGCGTCCTACTTGGATTCAGCAGCAGCATTTCCTGAGAATCTGACTGTTGTGGATCTTGATGTTATCTTCAGGATGCAGCGTTCTTCCTGCCCCTCAGAGCTATTTTCTGCTGAGTGAGTGTGTGTACGTACAGTATCAGACCTTGAGTGTGTTTGTTCCTGGGAGTGAGTGTGTGCGTGTGTGTGAGTGGGTGTGTATGCAGTATCAGTGTGTGTCCTTGACGATTGGACTGTGTTTGTCCCTTGGGTCCTTGAATATGAATGTTTGTTTTGTAGGGTTGTTGTGGGTGCTCTTTTTTCTGTATCAAGCGATGTGAATAAACACGGCATCAGGCAGACATTTTGTAAGTGTTTCTATAGAGGTAGAGAGCTCGAACGTTTCTGCAAAAGACTTTCCAGTCCACAATTACCAGACATTGTGTATAATCTGTGCATTAACACAGCACGCTCATAGTTTGATCTGTGGTACTGCATCATCTCGTGAATAATTCACACGT